TTCCATGGCTAGTGTGCCCTTACCTTTACTCCTAGCTCAGCACCTCTAAATCTGTCCTCAGCTTAGTTACTTACTTACCTTCTGGGAAGCCCACTGCTCTTCCTACCAAAGATGCTCTCAGGCTGCCCTTTCATGGGCCATTTTCCCTTTCTACCTTCATTTTGGAAGATCTCTCCTGTATCTCTGAGTCTGTTCCGTTTCTCTCTCCCCTCCAAGTATCTTGATCCTCCTCTTCCTGCTTTCTCCTCTCTCCTAGCCTGTGGGAACCTGGAAGTCCTGTCTCATTCTTTCCACCCAGCCATTGGCATCTTTATTGATAGATCAAAAACAAATTGGAGGCAAGAACCTTCAGCATCAGTAAACACAGATTCCCGATTAAATCAAAGCATCAGAACTAGTCCTCTACAGATAACTGCTTACAGTATGATCTTTACCACAACCAGACATCAATAACTACAGCCTAAACCAACCTTTGGACAAAGTCCTCAAATGGCAACACAATCCTTGAATACTACACAGGCCCCTCTGGGTATGTGGCCCCTCTCATTCTGTTTCCATTTAAATTTCTATGAATGTGTTTTCTTGAAATCCTGTGGTACAAAACCCTTTCCTCTTGTCCCTGTTATCCAGAGAAATGGAGGAACTAGATATAGACATACACACATGCACACGTACACACACACACACACACACACACACTGTCCCTTCAACTATAGGTTATGTACAGAGGTACTAGGTAGTTATCAGTATTCACAGATAAGAGTTTTGTTATCAGTGACAAAGCTGGGAAACCTGTGTGGATAGCTAAGTTTAGTTCTGTTAAAGGACAAGTTCACACTTCGTGAACTTTCTGTCTTGTCTGTGACAATAGTTTTCTGTCACTCTGTGACCTTAACTAGCTGCTGTATCTCAGGCAGGTTTTTCTGTTTCCTGATGACATGCAAGCTTTTAGCAGTTCCACAAAAGGTTAACTTTCTCTTCTGATGTTCTTAAATGGTTGTCTGCAGGTAGAATAGAGATTTTCATCTCAAGAGTTAGTCCTCATAAACATTCAGACGCCAAGTTTTGGTTCCTTCCCAAAGTATTTGAAACTGTTAAGTAACACCAGTCTATTTTAATAAGTTTTTCTGTCACTTTGATGTTAATTTGGAAAATAAAAGTAAAATTAAAATGAAACTGCTTGTTTCAGCAATTAACAAACTGCCAAGCTTTTTACTTTAAACAAATTCACTGGTTATGTGATTTCCTTTTACTCACCAGGGTATATTTGCACTATAGACAGATAGTTGGACTGTCCTGCAGGTTTTGTCACCTTCCCTTAACTACTAAACTAGTTCATGATAGGGAGTGACAAGTCCTATTCCTATGCCCCATCAAGACCACTCTACTTCTCTTACAAGGGACCAGATTAGACAGGGGTATCTCAAATTTCAGAGCATCAGAGGAACTGGGGGGCTTGCTAATACTCAGATCACACCTGCTATTGATGCCAGGACACACATGATCTAAAGATAGAGCTGTCCTGTCACCTCCACAGCCGTCCTGTGCCACATGTGCCATTCACCAACCCACTCATCCAGTCCCTAAATAATTGAAAAACCCAGACTAAAGAAGCCCTGTTGTCGAAGTTTCCAATTCAGTAAGTGTGAGGTGGGGCCCTAAACACTGGATTACTAATAAGCTCCCCAGAGTCCAAACTGATGCTGGGGAATACCCTTAGAACTGCTGCTCTAGAACGAAGCCTCAAGAAACTGCTCCAGTGTGTCATACCACAGAGCCTTTGAGAGGTCTTCCTAAACTCTCATGTAATGTATTGGGCTATGGTGTCTGCAGAATGCACTACATCTTAGACCTAATATATGTTACAAACCCCACAGTAATAATATAAGGAGACCCAGAAAAAAGTTAAACTCTTAGAATTCAGCTTAGCATTTATGAAAATGAAATGACAGCAATAGTCTAAAAAGATGGCTGGAAACTCCTGGTCCTGGCTGTGCAAAAACCACAATGATCCTAAGGACCACTGGGTGCTGGTGCCACCGAGTGGCATCATTTGAGGTATCCAATTATAGATTACTCTGGGTTATGTTAGAAATTTGAGAGATACATAGGAAAATTGGGAAGGAAAGAAGAGAGGAAAGGAAGGGGAGAGAAAGAAGAATACTGGGGCTCTGTTCAATGCTTCGCTGCTTGGGAGCCTTGGCAAGAGAGGATGATAAAAATGACAAGTGCTCAGACCAGGGGATGCAAAGCCTGAAAGTGAAGTCCAAGACCGGCTGCAGAGGGGATGCTAGCATTCTGTGAAGGTGGTTGCTCAACCTTAGCTGATGTGTTTTCAGGACATAAAGGAGAGCGTGACTAGTGACAGGAAGATAGAAAAGTAGGCAACTTAAAGGATTGTGGGAAAGAAGCCAGGCATGATGAGACCAGCACTCCAGAGACTGAGGCTGGAGGATTGTGAATTCAGGGTCAGCCTGGGCTATCTGGCGACACCTCTATCTAACAGTGAGTTTGGGTGATCTGCAAGTCTAATGGGTGCCCTGGTGCTGATGAGGGGAATAAAGCTCTGAGAACGGAAAGAACTTCTGCAGGAGACGTCCCCGACATCACACAGCACATCTGGGATTGTGAGCACAAGCCACACATTGCGCTGTGGAGCTGGGCAAGAGGGGGAGGTGCAGTGTGAATCAATGTTTCCCTTTATTTTCATCCAGTCTTTATGAATCAAGCTTGCTACTGAATCAATTTCAACATTGCAGATATTACATTTCGGCCCTCTCATGCACTGTTAAAATGAGACTTGCACCCTCCCTTCCTTCATGTCTTTGCCATTATGAACGCTTGCAGCAGACTCCATTAAAGTTTTTTACACTGACCTGAGCATGTGGGGCCGGGTGCAAAGTATCTCATGCAATAAAGTCTGTATGCAGCAGAGGGCGCTGTGGCCATGCAGCTACCTGTGGTGAGTTTCTGATTGGTTCTGTGAGGATTTATAAAGTGGAAAAAGTAGATGATCCTATTATACTTTCTCCTTAAACTGTCACTTCTAATGTCAGTAGCAAGAGATAGCCACTGAGCTCTATTGTCTCGCATGAGAGTCTTTATAAGCCAGCAATAGCCTCTGAGCTCCCACTGTCTGGCACGAGAGTCTATAAATTATTTGGTTCTACCTTATCCACTCCTATTTTGTTTTTTCACTGATTTTAGACAATGTATTTTATTACATAAAGTTGCTTTTTAGATATAAGTCCCAATTTTAAAAAATATATTTATTCATTTGTATTTACACAGAAAAGAGGAAAAACTTAGACAAGAATCAAACGGGCAGTTTCTGTATCCATGAGGCAAAATATTGATGTCCAGGTAGCTGGACAGTGACAACATGAGCAAAGGTTGTTTTGGCAACACTGGTAAGATCTATCTTGATCAAGAAGGTTGGGAAGGCAGCCTTCATCGGGGATCACAACAGACATGCTAGATCTAGCCTGTTATTAGCAAACCAAGTAAAGAATGGCCACTGTCCACCCAGCCGGGACCACTGACCCCCATCCTACATCCCTGCCTTCAGTCTGTACCTCTGCCCTCCAGCCCCCAGCCTGCATCCCTCTCCTGACTGCCACCACAAACTTGTTTTCCCTGAGTATGAGACAAGCAGTGTGGAGACAAAGAAAACAACACCAGACACATCTCCAGCTGGTGGCAGGTCCTGGACTTTGTGTGGCATAACCTGTCTTTCCTGCTTTTACTTGTGTTGTACAGTGAACCCTGCATGTTGCTAGGACAGGGAAGGAGAGGACTCTCCAAAAGTTCCATGAGTTTTGCTTAATCAAAGGGATATTAATATAAAGAATTTGGCTTATTAAAAGCCTTTGCATACTGGTTCATAAAATCCATCTTTTGATTTTCCTATGGAAATTCAAGAGGCAAAAATAAAGAAATATTCCCAGCATGAAGAGGTGACCGTCGCTACACAGACATTGAAAGTTGAGAATGTCTGGTTTTGAAGTGTGATTAACTAGCCCTCATACATACTTTACCTCAAAAGCTTGTGACATTTCTTCTTTTGCTGACTGAGGGAGCAGTCACCAGCCTTCTGAGGCGTGAGACTCAGGAACAGGTGATAGTTGGAGCATTCCCAGCTTCCATGTAGCAAACTCAAGGGCACTCCGAGAAAGCCCTCAGCAGATTCTCTTTCCATTATCTCTCTAGTACATCCAGCTGGAAACAAAAACCATTAACTCCTTCTGTGACTCTCAGTTTACCAATGAAATTCTTGTTCGATTATCATTTTAACCATACAACACTTGCCCTGTTAGATTAAAAGTAATCCATATAGTGAAGGCTGCCAGTTATGACACATAACATGGTACCACAATGAAGTAATGGGCTGGAGCCTAGAAGGAAAATATTTTCTAAAAACCATAATATTTCATTGTATGTGCGCTTGTGCCTGCTACTTGGGTGTGTGCACCCATGCACACATACACACACATGGTTTTGTGAAAGCCCATCATTCACGCTGGGTGTTTCCTCTACTACTCTCCACTGAGATGTTTAGTTTTGTGACAGTGTTACTCACAGATCCTGGAACTCACTAGTCCCAGTAGTCCTTTTGGTCAGGGAGCCCGACGTCCTTGTGACTCCACCTCCCAGTGCTGGCATTACAGTCACACACTACTATGCCTTACTTTTACCACCTCACTCATCCCCACACCAGTTAAAATCATACAATACCATGAACCTACCTCACTCCTATTGCAGAATGAGTCACAACCTGGCTTAATTCATTTGGAGCCTAGGAAATTATTTCTTACAAATTAAGTTGTATTTACTCTGTCAGTGATGATGTCATATCTTCCCAAATGCAGTGTCTTACTATATCAGTATCGTGTAAATGGATATCGAGATGTTTACACTGTGGATTCCTGTCTGGAATGCAAAGTAAAAGCAAAATGCTCTGGTCGTAAACTCGGCAGTGAGTGATTCCTTTCTGTTTGCAGTGGGAAAAGCTCCAGATGACTACGAGCGAAAGGAGGAAAATATTCTGCTCTGTCACGTTCCACGTCATCGCCGTCACCTGTGTGGTGTGGTCCTTGTATGTGTTGATAGATCGGACAGCGGAGGAAATCAAGCAAGGTAACGACAATGGTAAGGACCTCTCCCAGCTCCTCCTCCCATCCCCTGATGGGACCCAAGTGTGCACAGGAAGCCATTTCCAAAGTTTAGGTTTCCCTTAGGTTTCCCTTAGGTTTCCAGATGGGACACCTGAGCAAGGACCATAACTTGCAGCGAAACCTCTATAATTATCTTCTTGATCAACTCTATCTAAAAAGCATGGGCCACTTGGGATTCCCAAGTTAGGACTTGGGACCGTTGGGCCCAGGTAAAGCTTAGCTGTGAGGGCTGCATGGGTACCATTTACCACTTCAGATTTCCAGAGGCTCACTGAGAGCCAAGCTCAGCCTGACATGAAAATGCAAATTGGTAGAGAAGTGGAGAGTTGCTGGGCTGTGGTAGTGCACACCTTTAATCCCAGCACTGATGAAGCAGAGCCAGGCAGATCTCTGCGTTCAAGGCCAGCCTGGTCTACAAAGTGAGTTCTAGAATAGCGAAGAACCCTGTCTCAAAAAAAAATGAAAAATAAATAAATAAATAAATAAATAAATGGAAAAGAAAGAAAAGTGGAGAGTTTTAAAGTCTTATTTAATTCACCCTGCCTGCTGCTGCTTTGATGGTACAAGGTAACACTGTGGTAGTGAACATGTCCTGGAGTCCTCATGCTGGGCAATTTGATGCAGTGGCTTAGCACTGTAGTTGAACATCTTAGCCATGCCCAGTTTGAAGGACATCATCCAGGCTACGAAGAACTATATTAGACTACAAATATATAATATTTAAAGCCTTTCCAGGCCTGTCCATTTGGGGGCAGTGGTGCACACAGTATGTGTGTACACTTGAGTTTCCTAAAGTGCGACGGGCTTTGAAGGTTCCAGACCTGAGGGGCTCCTGGTGCACATTGTTTAAGAGAAGAAGAGCTGGAGTTTGACTGGCAGACCCTAGCATTCCTTTATAAAACCAGAAAACTATGAAAAGCCTATATCGAGTCTAAATACTAGAGAAACAGGTAGGATATAAGTTTTTTAGAATACATTTATGCACCATTAACTCATTTATAAATGGAATCAGTTAAAGATGGCTTCTGTTTTGCCACATTATGACTTTTCCCAGAGTTTCTTGCTTTTAAGGTGTCATGTTAAATCTAGATTGAATAAATTCTCACTTCCTGTAGGTAGGACCTTAAAAAAATAATTGCATACACCAAAGCAGATACCCAACTCTGCCTAAATGAAAAGCAGAGTGTAGCCCGACAGTGGTGGCCCACACCTTTAATCCCAGCACTTGGGAGGCAGAGGCAGGAGGATTTCTGTGTTCGAGGTCAGCCTGGTCTACAGAGTGAGTTCCAGGACAGCCAGGGCTATACAGAGAAACTTGAAAATCAAAAACAAAAGCAAAAAGGAAGGAAGGAAAGAAGGAAGGAAGGAAGGAAGGAAGGAAGGAAGGAAGGAAGGAAGGAAGGAAGGAAGGAAGAAAAGCAGAGTGTAACTATCTCACCCAATGCTCCCTGTAAGAGTAAAGTGTGTTCCTAGCTAGCAGGGCAGATCTGATGACTCCTAGCCAGAGACTTCCTACTCTTAGGTGGCTAAGTGGAGCCCCCGACTGGAGAAAAAAGCATTTTCATGACTAGACAGTGTCCTGATATGACTAGACTATTGTGGACAACCTCATTTCACCTGTTATACCCAGACAAGACTCCTATGGGAAAACACTCATGCTAACTTAATCAGTCGTGCTTGTCCAACTGTTATGGGATCCACTTAGATCCAACACAATGAAGATGACAAAAATTGGCTGTAATCAAGCCATATTGATTAATCAGGGCCATTGGACAGACATAGGAGCTGAACTGCAGCCCCATCCCACCCCTCACCCCCCTACCCTGAGCCAGACTGCTACAGAGTTTTTAAGCTTGAAAGTGATACACATCTGTGCTAATTTGCAGTTATATTTTTCCACTAATCAGGATTTAGGGATAGGGGACTTCCTTAGGAACATGTCTTTGGGGTATACTTATCCTGTTCTCAGAAGTTGGTTTATTCAGCCGTGGTAAGGTGACTTGCCTAGCCTTCATATCTCAACTTGCCAACCAGGGTATCAGTTAACCATGTACATGTTCTTTCTGCCAAGCAGGATGTCAGTTACCCAGGCAGTCTTTATTTGACCCCCTATTCAATATGGAAGTTTTATTCAAAATGGCTTCAGTTTGGTTCCTTCTTACACCACATCTCTCCAGAAACCAAAAAACCCACGTCCCCTCCTTTCTTCTGCCTCCCCTGCTTATGGGGCAGTGATTCTGTTGTTCTCAAACCCTTTCATTGCTGATTGCATACTGAAACACTCCCAACTTTATTCCTAGTTTATAATATGCCCCAAAGCTTGCATCTACTCCCTCCCGAGAACACCCCTGAAAGTCTCCCAGATACCCCAAGCTCATACTCAGTCATCTCCCACCGCCAACCTCAGCGCCTTGTAAAAGGGATCCTTAAAATCTGGATCTCCTCCCTTTTCTGGTCAACTGTCTCTCTTAAATTAACGACCAGGTCATATGCAATCTGCCTCATACAGCCCTGAACTCTTTCCATTTATCTCCTTCCCCACTAACAATATCCATGTGAAAACTGTTTTATATAAAGCAGCCAAAGCCTCTTACTTACACTTTCTCCATTCTCCCCAACTTCAGCTCATGGTCATTAACTACCACAAAATACAATAGCATGAATAGGATTCATTAGGGTTTCTGTTGCTGTGATGAAACACCATGACCAGATGCAAATTGGTGGGGGGGGTGGCAGGGGTGTGTTTCAGCTTACAATTCCCAGGTAACAGACCTCACTGAGGGAAGGCTGGACAGGAACTCATAACAGGTCAAGAACTTGGAGGAAGGAGCAGATGCAGAAGCTATGGAAGGATGCTGCTTACTGCTTCCTCTTCATGGCTTACCCAGGCTGCTGTCTTTTTTGTTTGTTTGTTTTAAAAAAATTTTTTCTATACTCCAGATTCTATTCCCCACCCCCAGTCCACCTTCCAGACTGTTCCACATCATATACCTCCAACCCACCCCCGTCTCCATGACGATGTCCCCACCCCCCACCCAACCAGACCTCTAAACACCCTGGGGCCTCCAGTCTATTGAGGGTTAAGTGCATCTTCTCTGACTGAATCCAGACCGGCACTCCTCTGCTGTACATGTGTTGGGGGCCTCATATCAGCTGGTGTATGCTGCCTGGTTGGTGATCCAGTGTCTGACAGATCTTGGTGGGGCTCCAGGTTAATTGAGATTAATTAATCCTCCTACAGGATTGCCCTCCTCCTCAGCTTGTTCCAGCATTTTCTTAATTCAGCCACAGGTGTCAGCAGCTTCTGTCCATTGATTGGGTGCAAATATCTGCATCTGACTCTTTCAGCTGCTTGTTGGGTCTTTCAGATATCAGTCAAGATATGTCCGATTTTGTGAGTGCTCTTCAGTAATAGTGTCCGGCCTTGGGACCTGCCCTTAAGCTGGATCCCACTTTGGGCCTGTCACTGGACCTTCTTTTCCTCAGGCTCCTCTCCATTTCCATCCCTGTAGTTGTTCAAACAGGAGCAATTATGGGTCAGAGTGTTGACTGTGGGATGGCAACCCCCTCCCTCATTTGATGCTCTGTCTTCCTGCTGGAAGTGGCCACTTGTATAAATTCTGTGTCACCAGTAGTACCCCAGCGAATTTTCCAGGCAGGACATATTGTAGGTTGAAGGTTTTGTGGCTGGGTTGATGTCCAGTCCCAGTGCTGTAGGCTTTGCACAGGCAAGAAGATGGCCGCTTTGGGCTCCATAACCCATTACTAGAAGACTTCACTAGGGTAGCTCTCATAGATGGCCGAGACTTCCCACAGTACTAGGTTGCTACATGGCTCCCTCTCAACACCCACCTTCCCAGGGAGATCCATGCATCGCCCGTTGAGTCACTCTTGTTACTGAGCCTCTCCAGTCTGGACTGTAGCATGGTTATCCTTTACTTACCAGCGGATATCCACTTCTAAGTGACTACATACCATGTTTGTCTTCCTGGGTCTGGGTTACCTCACTCAGGGTGATTTTTTTTCTAGCTTTATCCATCCATTTGCCTGAAAATTTCATCATGTCATTATTTCTAGCAGCTGAGTAACACTCCATAAGCACATCACTTTTCAATTAGGAGATTTCTTTTCTAATTTATGTCCTTGATAGCACATTAATATTAACATCACAATATAAAATATAAATAACTTGAAAAGTCCCACAATCCTTACAAATTCAAACACATTAAAATTTTGGTCTCTCTAAAGTATCTACTCTCTTTTTTAAAAATAACCAAGTGCTCTTTTAAAAATTTAATGTCTCTTAGCTGAGGGCTACTGTAAAAAAAATCAAAACTAAGTTAAATGCTTTCATCAAGAGGGAAGAACCAGGACACAGTCACACTAAGCAAACTCCAACCATATAAATAACTCAATGTCCAATGTCTGGGATTCACTCCTGATCTTCTGGGCTCCTCCAGGAGTCTTAGGCCACTTCTCCAGCTCCACCCTCTGCAGCACACACAGCTTGTCTTCTAAGTTCTAGCTGGTTCCACTCCACTACTGCTGCCGTTCTTGGTGGACATCCCACCACATTGGCATCTCCAAAACTGCTGGAGTCCCTTGTTAAAGTGGGCTGCACCAGGTGCCTCCCTTGGGCTTTCTTCGAGGACTCCAGCCCTGCCATACAGTGCCAAGCATCTGCTGCTTTTCACGGCTCCTTCATGTCTTCAAAACCAGTACCATGTGGTAGACCCTTCCACTGCCAAGTTCAGCCGCCAGCACAGCATAAGATACAACCTTGGCCACTTCTGGAACAAAGCTTCTGTGTCCTGACCTTTAGGAAACAGTTCCCAGAAGACTTCACCTCAGCGATGCTGGTCTCTTCTTAATCACAGCTAATCCCTCAGCCCCAGCTGACCAGCATCCGTTGTCCTAGCAAAGGAAAGGTTTCATGTGAGTGGTGCAGTCCACTTGTCAATCACAGCCAGTTCC